GAAAAAGCACTCCCAGTTTTTCATAGAAGCCAAAAAAGCTCATAGATATCGACCCCTTTATTTCCAGAATGGTTCGAAAATGAATTCGTCCCAAGTGTAAAATCCTTGTTAAAATAAATTAAAAAAAACCTTTCCAAAAAAGCATTGTTACTTCTTGACAATGCGCCAACTCATCCTGAAAGTCTACAGAATAGTGATAATTGTCAGATTTTTGCCACCAAATGTACTCCCTGGTATAACAGCTTAATTCAGCTGTTATACCAGGAAGTAATAGAGACATTCGAGAGACATTATAGAGGAGAATTCTTAAGACATCTGTTATTAAAGGAGACGAATGAATCCAAAAGTGTTACCGAAATTCTCAAATCTTCAACAATGAAACATGTTGTTTATTGGTGTGCAGAGTTCTGCGCCATGATTAAATTTTCAACTTTATAAAAATGCTGGAACTAACTTTTTGATGGGATTTTGATTGACGATCCTAAGGAAGAAAATGGTGAAGAAACGTCAGAAGAAATTAAACCTTTAAAAAAAATTTCGGTATGTGACGAAATTAACCAAGAAGAGATAAATTGATCGACTAGGACATCATTGATATGGTTCTTTATTCAGAAAACCTAAGCGTATCAGACGACGAAGATGACGACCCACCAGACAAGAGACAGCATGAGACCGCCCACAAGATTTTCAATGCCTTAAGGATAAGAATTTTATTCAATAGTAGTTAGGGACACGACTAGGTTCTTAATTTTTGTCGTCTTTGTATAAAGTTTTGTCCTTTTCAGATTGCTTTACGTTTCGTCGAACGATGGAATGAGGCAAACTCACGACGTTCTGCTAATGAACGATGGAAACATATAGCTGCAAAACATAGTTGTCAAAAGAAAATAGAAGATTTCTTTAAAAAATAAATACTTCCTTAAAAAAATATTTAAAAAATCCTTAAAAAATCTCTTAAAAATACTCTAAAAAACAATGATATTTTTAACCGAAATTCTTGTTATCCGAAACGGCTTCCCCCCCAATTATTTCGGTTAACAGAGGTTTTACTGTATATCGTATTCACTCTTCTACATGTAACGAAGGTACTTACCTCTCTAAGACATTGTTATACCTGTAGTGAGGACCTCATTGTCACACTATTTTTCTTTTTATTTCTACACATTGCCTTGTACAAATCTCAACTTGTCTCAAATATATTTTTACTATTTACGAAATTAAAGAAATACGATTTTAAAGTCGTTTAATCAAATTTTAGGCCAATAATTTTCTATTTTCGAAAATACTACATTTAAAACTAGTTTAACGTGAATTTGTTGTTGTATGTACTTCTTCATGAGTGATCGTAAATGACGTATAATGTGTACATAACATTCAATGTAAAATAGTGTGTGTTCAGTTCTTGGACTTCGGCTGCCTGGTTGGTTGTTCGAATTTCAATTGCAAATGTTATTCAAGAAAATAAAGCGCTTTCGTATACTTCATTTTGATGTTCATTCTGACGTGTGGTATATTTTAGCAATATCAAGCTTACAATACTTAACATTCAGCTCCTAAATCAAAATTGAAATTATGCAAAACACAATTTTTAGATTTCCTCATTATACAGATTTCTAAACTAGGCGACTCATATTTTGGACTGTAACCTGTACATGAGTTCACTAATTGCTCCAAATTTTTTTTAATAATAATTTATCAGATTAGAGTATAAGATGTTTAGTGGTTCCCATTTTAATAAATGATTTCAATGCTCGGCCGATGTTTTGTAAAGGTAAATTAATTACCAGAGTTTATAGACCGTGTTTTGAATGCAACTGCAGCACATATTAAAGGCGAAGCATTCATCAGTTGCAGACGAAACTCCAGGAACAAACAGCTTATAAACCTCGGTAACAATGTAGCTTTATAATTTTTTAATTTACTACTAGTTCTATATTTCGTGCTAGAGAAAGAAAGATGAGCTAGAAAACAGTTTCAGACATGTCATCGATAGGTGTATCGTGTCGTCGCATCTTGTCTTTGGTTAGAAATTAAGTGCTAACCAATGACAAGCTGTGACGACACCACACACCCACCGATCACGTGCCTGAAACTGTTTACCTCGTACTTAATTGAAGGAAGTATAGTCTTCTACATTTTACATTATGTTCTAGTATATACCACTTTTATTTATTGAATAGTTACTAAATCTTAAAACTAGAAATTTGGCTACGTCCGTAGAAGATTAAAACGTGTTATCAGTACAGTCCAAAACCGGAAACAGCATGTTATAAATTTCAAGTGTTCTTTATTGAGAAAAGTCCATTTAGTTAGTTAGTTAGTATTTTTTAATATTAGTTGTTAGTTAGTTAGTTAGTGAATAAACGAATGGATGTAGCCGGGGGCACCGCAGCAAGGCAGAAGGGCATCGTATAAAGCACTGCACGCGCCTCCGACTCTTAACAAAACCTGCATGTATTCCTACGATCTCTTTCTTGGACTTTTTGTTGTTTTTTGTAATAATATTTCGCTTGCAGCCAGGAGCATCGGGTAAGTATGTGCTGTGGTGTAGGGACTGTTTTGTTCAGAATAAATCTCTATATTATTTCGATATAACTCAAGAGTGATTACTGATTCTTACCAAAGATGTTTAATTAAATATAAAAACGAAATATACAAGAAGTTATAGATTTCAATTTCTTGTGGCCTTTAGTAATTCTTTTGTCTGTTTGTTTTTATTTCCTTTCAATATTTTTTGATTACATCTTTTTTACATGCTTTGTCTAATACATTCGTATCAATATCAGTAGAATCTCACTACCCCGGAACTATTAAAAAGCAGATGGTGTTGGATTATTGGAATGTTCGGATTACCTGGTTATATGAAAAATTTATGATAAATAAAATAAAGCATTGGATTAAATTATGTGATATAGCTCCGTATATGAGCAAGAGAGAGAATGCAACATTCTTCAAATTAAATTTTTTGTGGCTTTGCGTTATGGTTATTATCCTGAGAAATACAAGGACTTTACTTTTTTGATAACATTTTGATCAGTTGGCAATTAAAGTGTGCCTACTGACAGACAAATAGTTCTGAAAACTCTGGGATTTTTATCTTTACCAATCACTAACAATTCCAATTTGTGTGTTCAAGTAGTATTTGAACACAGTATAAATGCTTTTCTGTTCATACTCAGTTTATGACCTGGTGCGCTTGCTTCTTTAGGGGATACTAATATTTTGTTGGGCAACAGTCTCCAAAAATAGACCACGCTCGTCTGCATTATAGATTTAATCAGGAAGAAGACTCAGTTCTTCTACTTTTTCTTTATAATAGTGGATAAATGGCCGCACTGCAGAATCGTTGCTTGACAATTGTTCACCCGATGTACTTAACAGACAGATAACAAATCGATTTTTAAATTTATCTATCCACCCAATACTGGCACGAGAATCATCTTTCTTTGTTCAATGTCTTTACAACGTTCTTGCATGAACCACATGTAGAAGACGTTTTCCATATTCGGACATTCGCCAACTTTTAATGTTGGCGATTTTCTGCTTCAGATTCCAGCGTCTTCATGTGACCCACTATTTTTTTTTAAATCAAGTATAGTAGCACGACCATGTTCATATTCTTATGTCAATGTATACATGTTTTCTCCACTTTATTAAAATGCCCACTTATCTTTCAAAGCTAGAGTCATGTTTTTCCGTTTACTTGTCTTTTTTAACTACAATATTCTCACCTAAAACAGCAGGTAAATACGGTCCGTCCCAAACCCTTTTTTCAGTGCGTCACTAAATGTGACGTCATATAGGATTTTAAGAATGTCAGAATGTAAGAAATTATGACATTGTGAAAGTATTGTCATGATCAAGATAATCTGCGTCAAATTATATTTATGCGCATCATTGATTGGATATCTATTTAGCGTATTCTAAACTCCAACCAATTATACATCCGTAAGTAGAATTCGCTTTAATATGCAAATACTCGTGAACGATACATAATTTTCTATGTTTTATGTATAATAATCACAGACTCACGTCTTTTTCTGTCACTTCTAGCTTTATGCGTTAGAGAGAATTCGACCAACTATGACGCACTGAAAAAAGGGTTTGGGACGGACCGTATGTACGCACGTGCACCTGGTCGGTTTTGAGGTTAGACTGTTTGACGTAACGGAGTGCATACGCAGTGTGTAGTGTAGGAAGATACGAGTGAGGCGCGAGTGAAGGGTGCCGAATTAGTGAGAATCTACTGTATATATATGATGTATATTCGAATCATAATGTTCAAATCATTCTGCAGTTTTTTATAAATAAACTTCCACTTAAATTCTTTCTTGAGTTCCGTATTCCTTACTTCACAATAATCCTCTATAAATCTCTTACTATCTATTAAGACTAAGCTTAGTACGTATACAAAATACTTTTAGTATCTTTCATTTATTTCTTACTCCTTTATATAAACTATACATATAATAAAACTCTTTGGTATTGTCAGCTTTCCATTTTGAGTAACATTTATCATGCATATCAGGTGTTTCATTAAGTATTATCGAATCCATTGCTGATATTGAACTTAAAATGTTGTTGTCCGTAACATTACATCTTTTATTTTAGAAAGTTTTTACTGAAATATATATTTTTCATATCAAGCCAACATGCACTTTTATATTTTTGTGTATATGGGCGACTTGATAAAAAATAATTTAAGACATAACCTAAATAAGTAAGAATAGCGATATTTTAAGTCTCAATATTAGTCAATTTTTTCATAAGTAATGAATATTCTGAAATATATATGTATATTTCAAATTTATTAATAGATTAGTCTTTATTTAAAGAGGTTAGTAAAATTAGTGTATGTGGTAAATAAGCCGAATAGATTTTGACGAGAATCGTTACTTGACTCTTTTCCCGGCATGCTATTTTGTAGTAACTTAAAAATCTCCAGGCAATCCAATTGGATAATTTAGTTGGCTAAATTGGGACTTATTGTCTTTTTGTAGATTACGATTACGACTATTACGGTTACGGGGACTATAGAGGCGGCTACAGTGATCCCTATTATGATGATTTTTACCGGTATGAAGATTACTATTACGATTATCAGCCGGCCCCAACACCAGCGAGAGGAAGGGGTCGGCAACCAGCACCGGTATGGGCTAATAACAAATTTTCCTAAACGTTAAGGCAGTCAGGTGTTCGCGGCTCTAACGGGAAAAGTTTTCGTGGCAATATATGTTCTGCGCGTAAAAAATATTCATCACGAATTTCTAGAACTCTACGATTTTAATACAGTTTACTCAAGAAAGATTTCACTAAGAGAACTCAACACACAGAAATATAGTCCAGTGATAGATTAACTAAAGCAGTACGCGAAATCACTGGTACGCTACAAAAGATTATTTTACTGAATGTGTTCAAGCTGTGTATAAAAGCACACCTGAAGTTGGGCCAAAGTATATTTTATTTTTTATCAACAAATCTATTCAGTAAATATTAAATTTCCTTTAATATGTCTTTGACTTTGCTATTATATAAAAAAAAAACGTTATAGTTTAATCAACCACTGCACAGATACAATCACTTGAACACATGTTCAACGTTAGTAATATTCAAATTGTTTGTAAACCTGAAAAGAAAGTAAATTAATTATAAAACCAAATGAAATTTACTGAATAATACTGAAATTACAAAACAAAATATATTAAATCACAACAGCATTTTGTAATCAAAACGTTTGGGAACGATTAAAATAAGATATTTTGTTACTTCCCGTGATATATGGTATAATCCATTATCTCAAAGGATATATTCTTTACAGAAACCATAAGCAAGTTAACATATAAACTATGCAAACGAATTAACAAACGCATTGTGCGATTGTTACAGAAAATCGCCGTATTGTGCAACTCACGTACATTGCAGTTGATTTATATTCTTATCAAGAACTTGCTTCATCTATAAAATGAATTTAAAGAATCTATATTAAAACACATGTATAGCATGTTAAAGTTTAAACTTCTCAAATTCAAACACTCACTTAATATATTTGGATTATTTTAAATTGACCTAGAGTAATTATGTGATACTAAAGAATAAAAAAATAAGACATTACGGTGCAAAATACCTATTTTTCCAAATTTAAATAACAATGGATGTATTTCTTTGCTAAGGAATCTGTTAATATTTTCTAGAACTTTTTTTAACGGTTTTACAAATTAAAATGATTTAATTTGCAAATATATAGTTAATAGTACAAATTCTGTGATGAACTAAATTTTTTTAACATACCCCGTAAACTTTTGCCTTTATCCGTGACTATCATTCTGACTGAAACAGTTTATTTTTTAATTGATCTAATGCGGTAGTTTGATTGTGGCACAGTGTCTGCCTGACTAATTAACAGCACAGCTAACCTAATATATATCTAACATTTAAATAACAGCCCGGCCCTACCAATGCTTGCACGTCTCATACAGAGGAAACAGTACTAATTTTATGTACACTTGCCACATTCAAAAATACCATCATATCTGAGCCAACTTCAAAATTGAGCGCCGCCGGGAAAAGTGAACCCCCGACACACGATCAGTCCATCTGACACAAGCCACACCTTACGAGTCATTGTCATTATCGAGAACGGCCAGCCGCTGGCAGTAGTGGCTGGCTCAGATATGATGTGCTCTTAGTTGCAGGGTTATCCAAAAATGGGGAGAGGGATGATTTTTTTCGATGCCGCCACGCCGATACACTAACATAAATGAACTCGTACGACCTTGTGTTTTTAGTGCATTTTTTAAAAACAATATTACCATTTAAAGAGTCTTTTCACTTTGCCGTTTTTGGATTTAAAATAGCTGTGATTGGAATACCTATTTTGTATTTGTGATAGTTGTTGATATTCGTATACCACATACGTAGGTATTAATTAGTCCATCAGTATACGAAGTCAAAGAGAAAATAACAAGCGTTAACTTTATAAATAATTTAAGTATACCATGAGGACAATTTTTAATGGAATAATCTAAAACTAAGGTGCTTTCATTTTATACTTTGTCGACAATCGAAAAGAGACAATTTCTCAATGAACATCATTAGATTTTATACTTCTGATTTGAGTATGAGTGGAAAATGCGAGAAAAATCTTGACAGACAAATCCTTACATGTGTTCTATCCATACATACGAGTGTCCTATGTATAGGACACTTATATATTTACTTTCCTACATTACTATCACTCGAACTTTTTAGGAATGCTTCATCAAACGTATTCAAACTTGATAGTGTGCTTAGCAGACAAAATTCATGGGGTGTTTTTGTAGTCGGTTATCTCAAAGTTGTAGATCTTGTAAATCTACAACGTTGCATGTTGCGACTGCAAAAACGCTCTCACTGTTTTGTCCATATACCACACTATCACTTTTTAATGCTTTTATGTATCATTCCTGAAAAATATTGTCTGCTATTAATGATCGGGAAATGGTGTTCTACTCGCTTAATTCTTCAAATTTATTATCAGTCAACATTTTTCTGACTCAATGATTTTCGTCGAATTTATATATGACTCAATAAATAGGGCACATTTATATAAAAAGTTAGGCTCATTCGAATGGCGATCACAAATCCATTTCAAATAATACAAGGACTAAAACAGGGTAATGGGCTGGCACCACTTAATTTAGCACTGGAAACGTTAGAAGGTAGAAACAACACATAAATATAAATAAGTTCAACTGGCAGCATATGCAGATGACATAAATATCATGAGCAGAACCATTGCGATATGTGAGAATACGTATATGGACTTAAATCCCATGCTAACCAAAGTGGTCTATCAATGAACACAAAAAAGACTAATATCCTAGTACAAAACCGATCGGAGAGAGCAATACGACCCTACCTAAGAGTTGAAAACTTAAAAATATAGATAGCTTTTTCTATTTAGGGGTCAAAATTACAAAGAACAATATAAACGATGCAGAACATAGTAAAAGAATCATCCTAGTCAATGTACTATACTTTGCTATGGACCAGATATTTAAATCACGAAAAGTACATCACAGGACTAAGATACGAGTCTACAAGACCATAATCCAACCGATGGTGAGCTGTGGATGTGAAACTTGGAAGTTGACTCAGAAATCTGTAGGGCATGTTTGAAAGAAAGGTACAAAGACGCATACTATGCAGGGGAAGAGAGCTATTCAGATACAAAAAAAAACTATTGGAGTATGATATGAACCAGGGAGAAAGAAGTCTCAATGGCAGTCGATCGTGGAGAAGAATGACTACAAACCAAAACGAATCAAGAATGTTGCCAACGTTCGTAAGTAAATTACAAAGTTAGATCTTGCTGTTTTTTCTTCGACTCCTTAGTTTGATGGACTAAAGACCATACGTGTTGTAGAAAAGGTTTTAACAATAAAAATTAGAATACTGCGGAAAAATAATAAACAATATTATTCTTATTTAGTTAAGAAAACTAAACTACCTAACCTAACCTAACCAACTTCTGGTTAGGTTACACGTTGATACTGAAATAGCTGACATGAATTTATGTATGTAAGTTTATGCCACGCTCTTTAATTCAGTTTTTACATGTTTACATGCTCTTACACACTCACTTGGTACAGGTTAACATAAAAATAAGTGAGTCCAAATTCATTCACGCGTATACATGTATCTTCAGGGATGACAGGAAACAAGTTAATTTAATGTCTACACCTTTTTTGATCAAATCCACGTTATACTCTATTCACTGAACCTAGTCTTAACTCTTTAGTAAATTTAGAAATTCATTTTTTGTTATGTCAAACAAATTTTGACTTCAACTGTAGGTGACTGAAAGTTATTATACAACCAAGCACATCCAATATAAATTGTAACTTAAAAAATTATTCATATGCAATTTATGCAAATAAAATAAAGGATTAAATGTTTATTTTTAAATTTTTTTAGTCTTCTATAGATTACCTAGTATTTACAAATAAAAAGATTTTAATAAAAATTACACTTCCATTATTGATGATTAATCTTCTTGTTATTTTAGCCAAGAGAGTTAAAAGTTTACAGTCGTGTGAACATATATGTAAATACAAAATACACCAGATAGTTTTAGGTAATATTTTAACTCGTTTTTTGAAAATGCACTCATCAAACACTTCGTAAATACGGAGTCCATTGAATTTATTTTTCAATCTTGTGTTTATTTTCTTTTAATTTGCTTTCTATTGCAAAGTTTTTAGGAAATAGCCAGCTTGTGTGTCTGTCGATGTTGTTTGTCACAACCAGTTGGTCGTGGATAGTGACATATAAAAAGCTTTTTGTTCTTTGCTTTTGCTTATTTAGTGCTTTTTAGTAAGGCTTTGCTTTTTTGCTTTTATTTGCTTGGCTTAGACAACTCTAGGCAATCCAGAGCTATGTTTTTGCCGAGCTTTTTTATATACCATTAATAATATTTTGGATAACCCTTTTTCTAGAGCTTCCGCATATTTAGATGATACGATGAAGTTTACCGAAGGAGACCAACCAGAGACTGCTGTTGAGAGTTACTTCTACAATGTAAGTGAAAAGAGAATTTAGGATCATCTATAGAAAGTGTCAAAAGTTTATTTTATTTTAGTTTTTTGAGAATTAATGGCTACTATTAGTGATAACAAGGCTGGTTTGACAAGTTCAATGTTTGAATTCAAAATTAGGTAATTATTGAGGTATAATTTTTCTATAGCAGACAAAAAATGTTTGTAAGTTATGGCAAAAAAGAAACTTAAGGTTACTTATATTTCATAGCATTTTTTCATTTTGTTAAATATTACTCTGCCCAATGTTGTGCTTATTTCTTCTGTATAATCGTTATTACCGTTTAAAGTATTGTACTCTACACTGTCATTATTATACCCAATGTGATTTATACGTCTGAGATTAACCTTTATTCTAACCATTATTTCTTGAAGTAATGTTTTGAATTATTTTTTATTAGTATGGAATCTTCACATATTCCACTTTGTCAGAATATTCTTTTCTAACTCGGACATTGATAGTTTGACTCAAATAGAATACGTTTTATTATTCTAGTAAGAATCTTATATTATCTATGTTTGACTCATAAGTAGGTATGTGAGGTCTCTATAACGAATTTATTAAAGGCCTTAG